ATAGTTCTGGGAGGTGTCAGGATGTGGATGGCGAGGACTTGAAAAATCAGAGGCGTGAAAACTGTTGAAAGCTGTTGAGGTGTCTGTAGTGTTGACTCAAACCTGCTTGGGAAAATCACTCATGAAATGTGACTGTGGCTTTGCAGGTTTGCGTGCCTGTCTGTAGCAGGAACATACTCAATTCAGCATATAGATAAATCAGCTGAGATCCCTGAGAATGAAGTATAGTTTTAAAAATAATAATCAAAAACCATAGTAAGAGTGAAAACAACACGGTAATAGTGAAATAAAAACAACTCAAAGAGGAGTCCATAGGATTACACAGAAGATTACAGCCACTCTGTAACTGTTGGCTGGCTGAGCATTAATGTCAGTGAGCATCATTTTCCTTCTGTGTTTCTCAGCTATTTGGATTCAACTAGGCAGATCATCTGTGTTGTTGCTTCTAGGTCCAAAATAATGGCATGCAATAAGCCACTGGCTGGTGTGGGGACACTGGCAGTTACAGGGTCTTCATGCATGAGGCGTTTGCTGGCTGAAGTGGTCTCCAAGCTTTCCATCCACAGCCAGGGGGGGAAGCGGGGGAGCTCAGGGAGCTCTGGGTGCCAGCTGGCCTGCCCGGTCCCACAGCAGTTTTGAGCAAGCCTGTGGTGCCTTGGGGATTCTCTGATGACCTCTCAAGGACTTGTCACTTGAAGCCTGGCTTAATAAACCTCTTCTCTCTTCGCAACTGAGGCAGATTCCCTAAAGCTGACAGGTCTCAAAAGTTATTTTGAAATTATTGTGCTGGTTGCGTTAGCATGTTTCCATTCATCATGGGAATAGAGGTGGATTTATTTTTTTTTTCTTTTTTCCTTTTGAAGGAAGAGCTATATAAATGCTGCCTTTTCCTCCTTTTTCAAAACTTTCAGCTGACATTGATTTAATGACCACCATGGCTGAAAATTTGACTCCGGACCCCCGCATGGACAGTGAGAAAATATTCATACTTTCACAAGTGCTGATTATCTCTAGGTTTCTCTCTGACATTGATGTTACCAGCACTGAAGGTATCCAAATACCAGGGCTAAAATAGTATTTGAAAAAACAGGCTAGCACCTTTTTCTGAGGACCAATGTCAGTGAGGTTTAGTCTTCTAAATGCCTTTAACAATCTGGATCTGAAAGGACTTCAAGGTCAGAAAGGCAAGGAATCTTCCAGGATTTTAAAATGAAGGTACTGCTGTAGCACATACCTGGAGATCAAACTCCTATTTGAGTAATATAAGGCAATTTTAGCTGCAGAAGTTTCTTTTTAAAGCAGGAAAAGGTGGATAAAGTGATATCCAAAGTGCTTTTGATTTTATTTCTACTGTTAATGTGCCCCTTTACTACAGCTGCAGACTCTATAAAGTATTTAATCTTCAGCCTCTTTGGAGATTTCCTCTGTTAGTGGCTCTTCTCAGATCAAGGTATTTTCCCAAATATTCATATGGGTCCAAGTGTTATGGCCTGACTGACACGAAGAAGCTCAGTTGTCTAGAACGAGTCCATTTTCTCTGCAAGTCAAGCTATCACGAGGTAGGGTAAGGTGAATCCTCTGTGTCTCTGAGGTTAGTAAGCTCTGCAGCAGAAGGCAGTGGGGAATGAGATGAAGCTTTGTTGGAGTTTTTTTTTCCCTGGAAAATCCTTTGTAACTGACTGCTGAGTAGAACCACCAAGCAGCCCTGACAGTTCTCTGCTGCTCAGTGCATGAGCTGTGTAGCAGCTTGCAAAGGAAGATTTAACATACCTGGAGACTTTATCTTTCAGTTGTAGTCTGGATGCATCTAAAACCTCAAAAAATGCAACCAGAGAAAGTGATGCTGCCTTTTTATTCACTAGTGCAGAAGCTGGAGCACCATACTAATGTCAGTCCCTTCTGTCTCAGTGCATTTCATTCCTCTCTCTGACTTGTCTGTTGGTAATTGTTATCAACAAGCCTGCTGGGTGCTCATGCTTAAACTGCTTAATTTTCAGGCTTTCAGCTGTGTATCTGAACCACTTGTCTTGAAAACCTCTCTGTCTGATTTTCTTCTTCTGGATCCTGAAGTGCCCTATTACAATTGGATCCCTTCACTTTCCAGTCTACTAGCACTAACTATTCAAGTGCCAAGACTGGTCCTAGAAGGCTTTGAAGGTGAGATCTAGACAAACACCCTTCTCCTCAACCTTTCCTCTTGGCTAGTTTTCGTTGATCCCTCTTTTGCTTTCTGACTTGTGAATCACAGACTTGGCAAGAAGAGGCAGGACCGTCCACTTGAGTACCATAAGCTTCTCTAGGTCACAGAGGAGACCAAGATGCAGTACTTGTTCCCTGGCATTAGGAATCGCCTTTTGGGGAGGCGTGGTGAGACCCAAGCTTAATGTATGTGAAGTAGTTTTTTTGGTATGCACATGAGGATATTTGGGAGAAGAGTGCTGTCACAGAGAGCTGATATTTCAAAACTATATCAAGTTTGTAGCTAAATAATTTGTATAACCTTAGAAAATATCTGTAAAGTGGCCAGTAGCCTAGCCTGGTTTCTAAGAGTTCTGTCTGGCTCTGTGCATAGGCAAAGAAGTCAGTAGCTCAGGACAGCAGAGGACAGCAACACAGTAAATATTTTCCTGCCACTTTTTTTCTGCCAGAGCCCTGGACAGCTGGGCTCTTCTGCATGGCAGTAGAAGCTTTAACTCCCAATTTCTGTTACTTTCCCCTTTCCCACCCAGCTATTGCTGTTCTTTATGTCTGCCTTTATGATGTTCTTTCTCCACCAGCTCTGGTTCCTCATCCTTGGGTGGCAACATTCAGTTTTGCCTACACTCTTGAGAAGCTTTGAGGGATGTTGCTGCAATTCTGACAAAACTTAATGTGGCCTAAATATTCGAGCAGCCAAGGTCTGTACTTCTGTGGGTTTCTGTTCTCCTAGCAATACCCGAGCTAGGTATTTTAAAGCTGATTCAGACATGTATATATGAACTGTAGTCATCTTAGTTGTGGTAGCATAAGCAAAATTTTGGGAACCGAGCACTTCTGGAGGGGGAAAAGAAGATACTGTAAGCAGCTGTATGTGAGTGAATGTTGTCCCTCCAGAATCAGCACCCTAAGCTGTGAGAGGAGACTTTGCAAATTATGTTATTAGTCTGCTTAGAGTATTGGTGAAGGTACAGAATGCTTCTCTAGTAAGATTGTGTATATTGTCGTGTGCAACTGAAAGGTAATAGGAAATTGAAATAGAGGCCTTGAAAAAAAAAAATTGTTACATTACAGCTTAGTGGAAGCTTCCTCTTTTTGGCCCACACTCCCCTGGGTCTTCTTTCTGATTGAGAGAGGTGTCTATGAAGTAGTTCACACTTGTCCTGCTACAGGGGCATGGCATGTGGTGGCTGTGAAAATCCCCAAGTAGTCACTGTTCCTCCCTGGCTCCACGGGAGGATTGTCCAGCACCAGTGATTTTTCCCTAGGGTTTCCTGCCCCACTGTAGCCCATTAGACCATGACTGTATTGAGATCCCTTGACCCAGGAGCTCTTCCCAGGTGCAAGCATAGACACCCCCCCCCTTTTTTTTTCAGGCAGGTCCTCCTGCTGCATTTCTCTCTCCTTTGAAAGTAAAGCTGGGGAAGAGATTTGGGTCAAAAAAAGACTCACAGCATACACCAGTCTGTGCCCCAAATCAGGGTCATCAGTGAGAACTGAGGGGTGCTCCACAGTACAGCCCCACCAGTGGGGTGTCAGATATGTCAGATGGCATAGCAAGAGCATTGTGAGGTAGAGCAACCTCTCATGTAACTCATGCCATGTCCTCCCCACATGAGGAGGGAGGCAAAATCTGCTCATTCTCACCCAGAAGCTCTTTATTACTCTGTCTCTGCTGAAGGGCAGTTATGCCTTCAGTCCATCCCCAAAATAACAGATCCACCCTCCTAGGCCCCCAGCGTGCTGGGACAAACCAGCCCACATACTGGGCCCATACTTGCGCCTCATCCTACCTGGCTTATTTTTGAAGGGCATAAAGGAGTGAAGAGTAATACAGTCCAATCATCTTGCTCTAGATGTAAAATGCACACGTCTGTATGGTGGCTATAAAAGATGATATACAGGCACTCTCTTGAAACCCTGATATGACTTTCACCTTGTTTGTGTACTACAGAGCCTTGGTGAAAGTAGGACTGGAAAAACATATCAGAAGTACATCAATAACACTTTTGCCAAAGGGTATTTCTGCAGAACTCCTAAATATCAGCTTTTGATGGTCCTTTCACACAAACTCCATTTCTGTACTGTTGTTTCCTGAGACATCTCTTCACAGAGATATCGGGCAAGCCATTTCAGTTGTAGACTTAAACAAGGGTATGTTTCAGAGGTGAATCTTTTCAGGTTTTATTAAAGACTCTAATGTAACTTCATTGTGTGATATAGTGAAATATTATCTGCTTTCCACCCTCAGTGAGTTATATGAGGGCCATTGTATCAGAAAATTTACTGGGCATAATTTCAGTGCTCAGGTAGACGGGAAGCAAAATTTCAGGGCTTTAGGTTGGTCTCATTGTCTACCGAATTGCCTTTTTAAAGCAGCATGCACTCTAAGTGTCAGCTTAGTACTAACATCTTTCAGTGCAAGCCTGTTTGCTGTATTTTCTCATTGCACCTTTCCGGATCCCTGCCTCCAAATGAGAAATCGTGAACATGGAATTGCCTATTATAAGCATTGTTTAATCTCCTACTTATTAACTAAATTTCTTCTAAGCTTTATCTTCTCCCTTATAACACCCAAACAAGCTGCTGAATGCCCTGCTGTTTGTTTTGTGTTTGTCTGTGGAACATACAACCTGCTTGGAGGACCTGCACACGTTCTTCTCATGCTGAGTGAGTTATGGCATGGAAAAGTACATCATATTTGTAGTAGGATGTTGCGTATGTTCAGAAACTGGTGAAAGTCTTTGGAATTCTTATAACTGTTTATTCATTCTTCTGTTTAGGAGTCAGTGACCTGTAAGTGCTCATTATGAAGAGAGATCTGGTTTTCTTGGTGACTCTAATTAGCCTTGCCTTCCTGTCACTGCTAAGGTCTGGATATCCTCAACATATTGCAGAGGAGTCCTGCTCTGTTCAGATTCTTGTTCCAGGCCTCAAAGGTAATGTGGAAGCCTACTCCATCATTCAAATACTAATCCTTTCTTTCTAACAGGCTCATTTGTACCACTGACAGAGTGGTCTGTCTAACAGAGACAAAGAAAGGTGCCTTTCATTTGTCTTCTTATTTGTCCTGTTTGTAGCCTTCTCAAAAATGGAGTTATAAGGTCGGTAAGATGAACTTAAGTCTGTTAAAATAGACACGGTTCAGAGAATGCATGCTGAAGTTTCCCAGACTTGCTCCTGATCAGTGGTGCTTGTTATCCTGATACACTGCCTGGCTGCTTTCTCTGTGTTTATACTCAGGAGCTGTACACATACCCAAAGACTGTAAAATCAGGCTCTAATTGATACCTGGGCAGGTTTTTCATTATTATTTTGCAATGTAATGGGAAGTATTTTGTCTATTCTAGTCTTATATTTTCTTCCCTTGATTTTTAATTCTCAAGTGCCTTTTAGAAGAAATACAAAATTTGTTTGGTTTTTCTTTGGCTTTTCTATAGCTTCTGTAGACAAAAGCAACATTTTTACAAAATATACCCCCAAACTATTGCCTCCAAAAGGTGGCCTGATAAATTATTGATCCTTTCATAGCAAAAAAAGGTACCTTAGATAGTACAACAACTAGGAAGAATTAACATTTTAAAGCAACATCATCTATTATGATGTGACATCTCAGCCTTGTTTAGTCAATAACAGTAGTTCCCATTATGACGACTATGGTCTCTCTACAGGAGTGTAACACCTGTGAGCATGGGGAAATACCTGTTAACCAAGGTCAAAAAAACACTATGAAACCACCAGCTTGCTGGGCTTTATCCAGTTGCTTGAGGACCATAGTGAGGGTTACAGGCAGTTTCCCTGCTGGTTGATTGGTGAGGGCAAGGCTCAGTTCTGCCTTGCAATTGGTCGTACAGTTAAATTGTGAGTGCAGCCTGGCCACAGGTTTGGCACTGGTGTAAATTGCCCTCTCCAGACGTTGTCCAGTTTTGATGTGGCTGCCTTGTGCTGTAAGCAAGAGAATTCATAGAATCATAGAATGTCTGGGCTGGAAGGGACCTCCAAACATCATCTAGTCCAACCCCCCCACAATAAGCAGGTACGTCTCCAATTAGATCAACCTACTCAGAGCTTCATTCAGCCTGATCTTGAATGTGTCCCCAGGAATGGGACTTCTATTGGAGTTGAGCTGTAGGGATATGCTTGACCAATTGGCTTCAGGACCAAAAAAACTCTGCTGGTTTTTTTGTTTGTTTATTTTTGTTATTTTATTGCAGCTTTGGATGCCTTAATTGAACCAAAATCTGTATTTTTTTTTTAATTTTACTTCAGTAAATATCCTTTGAAGTCTTAAAAATGTTCACACCTTGTACAGATGCTCTAGTTAGACTATAGTTAGAACACTATATCCAGGTCTGATGAGGTTTTGGCTGAGGTTTGAGTAAAGTTGTTTCATTGGTTGATACATGTGCTGTGAAACAGGCAAAAGATAGTGTTGTTGATGTGACTCACAGAAAATAATACAATCAAGTTAAATATGTGTTATCTAAAGTTACATGGAAGATAAGTCTAAGCGTCAGATTCCACAGCACTGGGGACTGAAGCTTTGAAATGATTTTTCACTTCAGAGAAGATGATAAGCTTTGACAGCTTTGTAACTTCTTTGCCTTAGTCTCATTATTTGTGTAATCAGTCAAAATTAACACCTGTGATTCCCATTTTTATGTGAGGATTTTTGTTATTGTTATATGTAGTGGAGCTTTTTAAAACGTACAAACAGTGGAGGACCCTGGCCCTTTGTCAGAAGGCAATCCTGAGCCAGGAAACAACAGAGGGGCCTGAAAACCATCACATCTTAATGATTTCACTCTGCTTCATGAGGCATAAGCCTTGCAAAAGTGAGAGAGATTGATGTACAAATTCAGTGAAGCACAAAATGGCCTGATACAGCCTTAGTTAATGTGAAATCCCTAAAAAGCTATCAATGCTCCAGCTACTCTGTCAGGGGGACTGGCTCAGAGAATTAGTAACGAGATGCTGCTGTCCCCCACTGGCACAACTCCAACCCATTTCAGTGGCCAAGGCTTCCTTTAACAGAGCATATATGTGGCTGCATGCCCAAATTTTGGCTCCCACACAATGGGATTTGCTCACTGTGGCTTTTAGATCTGCCCCATCTCCTCCTCTGCTGGGCTGCTGGCAACATCTCCAATGACAGAGGAACGGAGCCCTGCACCACTGCTGGGCTCAAGCTTGTTGGGATTTGGGAAAAATTGGTACAGAGAAGTGGAAGAAATGAGGAAGACAATGGGATCTGTAAAAGGGAAAAGAGACGAGAGGGTTAAGCCTAAGAGGTCATGCAAAAACTGGAGTCAAAATGGGGTGATGGAGGAGAAAAATGCCAGGGAATAGTACTCAAAAGTGAGGGAACAGAGTGGAGAAATTTTAGAAGATCAGCAAGAGATAAAGGCAAAAGAGAAAAGAAGGACACAAAGAATGAGACTGAGTGGAGACACTGGAAACTAAAAAAGAAAAAATAAAAAAAAGAAATAAGAAAATGACACAAAGCCAATTAGGAACCCACAGAATAAAAGAGGGAATCAGAAGGGGGATGAGATGAGAATGGAGGTGGAACTGGAAGATGAAAAAAGCAAGTAAAGACACCAAGAATAGAAAAAGGCACAAATGACTTTAAGGTCAGCAGCTTAGGTCTTATGGACTGATTTTTTTTTATTTTTTTATTTTTTTTTTTTTGATAACCTCAGCAGTATAAAGGGGTAAGATGAAATGTGGAAGGGAAAAATACCAGAGCTCTGAGAATCCAGACAGCAGACTGATCTGTGTTTTAGAAAGCTGACAATATTAATAATGGGAAAAGTGTATTGTGTGTGAAGAAGGGGTGGATGATGAAGGCTCACTACATGGCTCACTCATATTCTTCCTCAAGTCTAGTTCTTTTTGATAGGCTCATGAGATTGAAGTTGCTACTACTATGGAGAGAAAAATAACATGGAACAATCCTTGAAATTCTTAATTTCTTAAATTCTTGGTTTACCACTTTCTTTTGTTTCCCTTCTAGAATCTAAATCAGGAATTATTTTAATAGTCTCAACAGCATACAATACACAAAAGAGTTGATGCTGCATAAATAAAATAAGCCAAATTTTTTTATACTCACACTTGATGAATCTACTCAAATGGAATATGAGTAATGGAAGAAGGTTAAGAAGAATTAATTAGAATTAATTAAAATTAAGAAGAAATGCTTAATAGCTTATGTAGTTAATATTTGGCATGTGATTTTCATTACAGTATAGATGGTACAGCTCAAGCTAGGCGGGATGCAAACCTAATCAGAGACAAAACTTGTTCCAGGGAATTCACAAAATTGACAGCAGTGGTAAGATATAGCATCTGAATTATGAAAGACCTCTCTCAGAGATGACAGGAGAAGCAGCTTGTAGTAGTGTCAGGGTTGTGCCTGATACCTGTGATCCTACTGCAGCTCAGGTCAGTACCAGGGCTAAATTTCTTGTGGGGGTGTGGGACATCACACTGTGGGGCACTGGTGGGCACACCTCGTGTGTGCAAGGGCTGTATTGTGCTGAAGAAGAAGATTCTCCTTCGTGCAGTAGGGCTGGAGCATAGAGCCATCCCAGCAGGAGGTATGACCGCAAAGGGATGGTGGCTGGTAGAGGAAGCAACACTGGAACAACTGGGTAGGGACCATGACGCACTGATCCCAAGGTCCTGCTCCAAAGGAGTTGGGTGTAACGTGTGGCACAGGGGCTGGAGACCAGAATGGGAGTGCAGAGATGTATTTCTCTAAGTAATTTATTTATTTTTTTTTTTAAATTTAGGAATAAAAAGTTAAAAGTTAGCATTAATTTGTGATAAATAAAACTGATTGAAATTCCTTGACAGACAACTCTTTTGTTGCCCACAACACCTGCACACAGGCTTTGCTTCCTTGGCTCGCTGAGTGCTCTGGGTACATACAGCAAAAGCAGGGACTTAAACATGGCAAAGCTGAAGTGGACCACTGATCAGTCCCTCTTGGCCAAGGTCTTGCTGTTTAAAACAGCTGATGACAGAAAATGCAGAGTGGTCTGTAGCTGGGCCTGTAGTGGCGTGTAATCTCTTCCCAGGGAAAGTTTCTTGAACACCCACACTGAGGAATGCAGTGTCATCTTATTACAGGAATAAATGCAGGCAAGTGTAATGGCCTGAAGCCAGAGTGATCTATTTTATTGATCCCTAATGCACAGCTCTCACTCTGAAGAACATGTAAAGCAACAGTCTGTAATAGCCTGCTCTCAGCCTCCAGGGAGCAGGGAAAAGTCATTGTCAGGATTTATCTTTGGGAAGCAAAGAACTCTTAACCAGCCCTGAGGGGGGAAAGGCAATCATACAAAGTCTATTGGTTACCTGATAATAAAAAAAATGATGTTCCTAAATGTGCCAAATAATAGTATGCTTCTTACTAACAGTAGTATTCACTGGGGATTGTGTGAAGTTTGTCCTCATTAAGGTCAGAGAATGGCCTAGTTTTGCATGTCTGAAGGCAACGAAGATGGTCTGGAGCCTGTTGGCAGCTGAAGAAGGAAAATATAACAGATGGAGGCCTGAGTTCAGCTCATAGCTACCTATGTCTACAATAAGGAGAGAGAGAGCTGGAGGCTGCATATTTGAAATGTGCCATGTTGTGGCTTATTTTTACATGTCTCCCTCTGAACCACATCTGCCAGCTATGCCAAAGAGCAGAGCCTGAAGGGTGCATGACTACTGTTGTGTTCCCTGCTATGGTGGGCGGTGGTCCACTCAGCTTCCTGGAGAGCAGCTAATGCTCGCTCTTCTCTGTAGAAGCATGGTGTTGGGGCATCAGGTGTGTTGTGTTAGCTCTGCTTTTAGGTCCTGGCAATTCTTTTCTGTGGAAGCCACTGAACTTTTTTTCTCCTTGATATAAATATTTTCTTATGGTAAAAGTGGCTTTCTAAATAATTCTTTAAACTTCTATTGGTTTAAGAGATTTTAATTTTATGTCAATAGCAAACTACAATAGTAGTATGGTAGTGGGGAATGAAAGAAGCTGAGCAGCCCCAAATTTCCAGGGAGGCAAACCTTTACAGAAGCTGATGTTTAAATATGCTGAATATAATGTGCCATGAGCCATGTGCATGTAAGTACAATGCACAGTGATCCATACCACAGAGATTAAAAGGCACAGTATATAACTGAAAATACAGATTAGGAGATACTCTTTCATGCTTAAAAATGTTCCTCTAAATGATGAATGAAGCAATGCCTTCCTTAAATGGCATAAACATTTTTTCCTTTTTGTTAATTTGAGGTTATAATTAAGCCATTTTCAATTGAGACTTAAGCATATCCTTAGTAGATGCTCAGGAAGTCTCTGGTGAACATAGACCTAGAAGTTTATGTGCTAAGTTGAAGCCTAATTCTGAAGCTTCTACTTAAGTGAATTGTGCTGCTGGGCTTTTTGGAGGTTGATAATATGAGTAACATCCACAAAACTAGACCCATTGTATGAGAATTCAGTAATGTATAAACTTTGGTTTTGTCAGGGCCTGTGCCAATTTCAGGAAACTGTCCTCCATGCAGCAAGTAAAGCCAAGTCAGATCGCTTTTGCTTTAATTTTTTTTTTCCCCCCTCTTGTTATAGTAGGATTTTATCTTCACTGGGGAGAATGGCACTCTTGGCACTGCCACCAGCAGAAAATAGTCCTACTTTAATTTTGGTTTTTTTTGTTTCCTTCTGTATCAACAGGGGAAGCTGGAGAAAAGGGGGAGAAAGGTGCTCCAGGTCGTCCAGGCAGAGTTGGGCCTCCAGGAGAAAAAGGTAACTTTGTTAAAGAAGATGTTTTGAAGGTATTTCCTGACCATATCCTGCCTTTTCTTGCGAGGCAATGATAATGGGGATCCCCTCTCCCTCTGTTGGGTGACTAAACCAGCTTTGGGCATTTTCACATACTGTTGTTGTGTTTTAACCCCAGTAGAGAGCTTGGCCTCACCCAGTCACTCGCTCAGTCCCAGTCGGTGGGCTCGGGAGAGAATCGGAAGGGTGAGAAAACTTATGACTTGAGACAGAGACAGTTTAATAGGTAAAGTGAAAGTTGTACACACAAGCAAAATAAAACAAGGAATTAATTCACCGCTTCCTGTCGGCAGGCGGATGTTCAGCCATCTCCAGGACAGCAGGGCTTCACCACCTGCAATGGTTACTTGCAAAGACAAACACCATCACTGTCAATGTTCCCCCTTTCCTTCTTCTTACCCCAGCTTTATATGCTGAACATGACATCATATGGTATGGGATATCCCTTTGGTCAGACAGGGTCACCTGTCCTGGCTGCATCCCCTCTCAACTTCCTGAGCACCTTCAGCTTACTTGCTGATGGGATGGGGTGAGAAGCAGAATATCACTCAATTATCAGTGCTGTTTTCAGCACAAAAGCAAAATATAGCCTCCTACTAGCTACTATAAAGAAATTTAACTCTATCCTGGCCAAAACCAGTACAACCATATGCACCCATTTGTATACTACCTATTGTTTTCTGGTCAAAAACATTCATTTTGGAAAAAAAAAAATATTGATTTTTTCAGAAAGGTCTCTGTGAAGGAAGGCATCATAATGTCTTCTTCATAATTTACCTTCTGCAAATGAAAACCTCATATTAGATCATAGGGGAAAAAAACCATGAGGCTCAATTTTCTTGTTTCCTTTCGTTTGCAAATGTGAACATGCACAGTACCTTAATTAAAACCATTGAGGGAAGGCAGTAAGCCATATAGGCAGAGAAGTCAATGAATGATTCCAAGTTTTTTTGATCACAGATCAGTGCTATTTATGGAAAGATGATGGTAATGCCATTTGCATTGTACTTCAAAAGTATTTGGAGAGTAATGGTACTCAATAGTGCTCAGTTATACAGCTGAGAGAAACTTGGCATTTCTGTCTTGCAGGAAATTCTGTCTTATTACTTTTGTAAAGCTAAAGTCCAGAGGTCCAGGGCTTTTATCTTGCTGCATGCCTTCCTCAGTTTCCTCAGAATCTTGAAAGCTGTCATCTCATAATGCCAATCGTGATCACTGCAACCAAGGCTGCTGTTGAATATCATATCCACAGAGGACATCTGAATAACAGGGCTAGGAGACTACCCATCTCTAGCTGGAAACCCAGTGTCTGGGTTAAGTGATTGATGCACTTTCTGGATTGATTGTTCCTCTCTCAGAAGATGCTGAAGTAGCTAGTCTCCAATTACAGAGCTTCTTACAGCTAAAAGGACTCTTCATATCCTGTCCCACTTCTTGACAAGACAGTCTGTAACAAATGCCCACCATGACGTCCCTCTTGCTGTCCTCTCCTCTGAATCTGACCTAGATGCTTCAACAGACCAGTCACCTGTTAGGAAGTAAAACTCCATGCATTCAAGGTGCCCACTATGCAGAGCATAACCCTTGCCTTATCTTCTCTGCCTGTCCGTCCTGAAGAGCCAATATCCATTCACTGCAGCATTCCTGTTATTCTGGCTGTCCCATCATACCTGGGTGACTGATGTCATTAAATGGGCTCTCAGTTCCTCCTGTTTGTTTCTGAGACTGTGATCATTTTTGTACAAGTGTTTGAGATGGGCACCTGGTCATACTGCTTTCTCATGGGGAACACGAGGGCATCTCCCATTGTGCTGTTTCTTTATGTTTCTCTAGCTTCGCATTTTGTTGAATCAGTTAAAATGTTTTGGACCATCTGAAATGTGGAAGTACTCTTTTTCAGTCAGACCAATTCATGATGTAACATTTCATGTATATATATTTCTTATACTGCAAAATTTCATTTATTTGGAAAATAATTCTCGTAAGGAATGCTTGATTAACTCTTATAACAATTATAATTTTTCATTTTTCCATACGTCCAAAAGTAAAAAATTCTGGTGAGACGGAAAGAGGAAACACCATAGTGAAAATTCACTGCAAGAAAACATACTTACAGGCAAAATTTCTTATTATTTCTGTAGCAACGTATCTTTTCTGCTTTCCTTTCTGCATCTAGATCTGACTTGCTGTATGTATGTCCTTGGAATATTTGGTAAACAGTTTTATTTTAGCATAATAAGAAATTTTTACAAACAAGCTTAAAATTTAATTTAAAACAAAAAATTAAATTATATAATTATTTTATAAAAAAATAAATTTCTTTTACAAACCAGTTAAAAATTAATTCTACTTAACTAATCTTTTCTTTAATGCTGTACATTTTGTAGGTATTTATCTTCATCAACTCTTTTCTACAAATGCTTCTTCAAAGAAGAAGCTACCTTAAAATGAGTTTGGACAATATGGTGCCAAATTTCATCACAATATCCAGTGTATTTTCTGAAATGTTGACTGGATAAGCAAACAGACTCCACAGATGGAATTACTACTGTGTGGAAAGGACACAGAAGGATATCCAGCCTTGACCTAGAGAAACCTTCCAGTCTCCTGACCTTTCAGTCTCTGGCTAACATCCAGAGACAGCGTGTAGTGCCCAGACCTGAAGTTAAGCTCATGCACAAATACTTTTCTAGACACTCAAGCTGAATGAGAGTGACTCAATTGTGCATTCTCTTCCATCAGTCCAAGGGTTTTCCCATATGTTATCCAGAAGCTGAAACTTGGAGCAAAACCAAAATATAGCGAGATTCTTGGGAAAAATCATGTGAGCCACTATCACTGAAATATCCAGCACACTGATGTCTTTTTCATAGCTGGCTGTTGATCTGATTTATAGAGTGGTAAGAGCTGAGCATCGTTTGGAAGCTGATAATTTGTTCACAATGGTGTTCTCAGAAATAAGCGGTTTGTCACCTTTTTTCCGGACAGGTTATCTAATATGCGTTCCTGACCTGCTATTGGCTTTGCTTTTTTGCTCTGTTTCTGATCTGTTGATGGGCATACACCACTGGTGTCCTTTAAAGTGCTGGCCAAGTACTTTAAAATCTCAGATGGTGTAAAGCTTGGGACTGTGATGATCACAGCAACCCTGTTTCTGTGCAGTAATCTGTTAAACTGCAGTTGCTCTGTTAACACATGTTCGACCCTCTGTATTTTTACTGAAGTTAGTAATTGTCTTATTGGGCTAATATTTGACTCCTCTTACTGAGGGCAACTGCCAAATTTCATAGTATATTTTTGCTATTTCAGTAAGTGATGGTTTACATGAGGGAGAGACTGTAATCCTGCAAGATTTGTAGAGTTTTCTACTTTTGGCACTGATTTACATTACCAGATTCACAGTAATTTTTTTTTTCTTTCCCATTTCTTTCTTTCATTTCTCGAGCAAGTTCATCCTAAGAAAATGTGCTTAGTTTCTTTTAACTCCTTAGGTATATAATAATCAGTGAAGAAATAACTTAAAAAAAAAATTACCTTATGTGAACACCTCAGGATTAGAAAGTGCTGAAAATGTTTTTATCATATTCTTTCCTCATGATGTTTTCAGATTTTGGTAGTTCAGAAACTGGTCATTAAAACTTTCTCATGCTTACCTGAAATAAATCTGGTTCTGAGTGTCCTGGTGTTTCAGGGTGACATCAGACATTCTGGTGTCTTTGGGCACTGATTAAGGTTAAATTCCACTTACTTTCCTCATTGCTTTTAATTAATTGTATAGGTCAATTATGATGCATAGCATGTCAGCAGAATATAAAACTGTGTAGGCCTTATGTAAAGTATAAAGCACTGGATCAAGTACAATGGGTGATTTGGGTGAACGCAGCATGTACTGCAGTGCAAGTTTTGGGATGTGAAGATAATAGATGTAACTTTCCCCAGTTGCACTGACTGCTGTATTGGACACTCCTGTGCCGGGAGTGAACTCAACTAGCAGAGTCATGGTCCAATCTGTGAGGCCATAACTTCCATGTATACACACATGGAATGTATATAAACCTTCCACACGGGTATTTCAATAACAATACAATATTGTCAATATTCCTAGAATAGCATGGATTCTGCTTATGGCAATCAAAATAAAGAGTAGGGGGTGAATTTGCTCTTGGAATGCATAAGCAAAGGAAAAGCACATTAAAAATGTGTTATTCAAGACACTTTGTTTTTCTTAGAGCTGTAACCATTTGCAAATATATGTTATTTTATTATTTTAATTTCAACCTTTATACATTGTACTTCATTTATACTTAATTGTAATGGTGTGTGAAGCAGAGTCACATACTATTCCTAGGCTTGTAACTCAACAGCCTCTTCCTTCGCAGTGTTAGCGTGGTGATTTTTGCTTTCACCAGCTAACACTTTCACAGGCAATTCTTGGGCACGTTTTGGGAGCTGACACAATAAGCAGCGTGCATCTTGGGTTGAAGGGTAAGACAATTTGATCTTGTAGGGTGTACCATTCTTGGACACCTGGCTCTCACTGCCAGGGAACAGACCCAGGCATTTAGTTTACAAGTCCAGACATAGCCTCCTTATTATGCAAGAAGACTCATTAATTTAACTGGATTGGAGCCAGAGTGCTCAGTCATTTGTATAATCAAATTCTAAAGAGAGGTAATAACGTCTTAATTTATATTTTAGTATTACTGATTGCTCATTAATATGTAATCAATCAATCTTTTCTGTTTCTGAGTCAACTTTTGCGTGAATTTATTGCTCACTAAGGAGTGTGACAGACAGGATTCCCTATAAAAGTCCTGACATTGACAGTTGTGGATTCATAAAGTGGGTATCTGGTTCAAAACTGTCTTTTAGTTCCACATGAACTCAATAGGATTTTGAGAAAAATTTGTGCTAAACTGAGTGGGCAAACAGATAGCAGATGGTATTCAGTGTAAATAAATATATTGCCCAGGGATGCATAATGTAATTCTACCTACATGGTGCCAAAACCCAGAACTGTCTCTTAAAACTTAAGAACTGCTCTGACATCATTAGAAGCAGCCCCAAAGCCAACAAAACACTGCCCATCCTCAGAGAAGATACTGAGGACAAAGCAGGAAACTTGTTTTTGAAGCTGGTTTCGCTCTGAATAAAAGCTCGACATGCACTGTCTTAAGTAACAAGTGTGGTTCTGACCTCTGTCTCTCAAGAAGGACGTGAGAAGTTAGAGAGGGGCACCAGAAACGTGAAGAAGGTGGAGGAGCTACCTCATAAGGAGAAACTGGACAGGTTGAGACTCCAGCATCCATACAGAGTGGTCTGAGGAAGATATGATTGAGGCTGCAGAATCCCATCACGCCTGAACTAGGAGGCACTCCCTAAAACTGTGGAGGGACTGATCCGGGAACTCCATCTGCAGTGGACTACAGATGGTGGCTGGGGTTGTGTGGTGCCCCTGTATGGCACCTTCTGCTGCCACTGTGGGAATCAAAATCTTGGGCTAGAGAGGCCACTGGTCCAAACAAGCTTGGTATAATGTTGTTAACATATTTCTGGCAAGGTATGTGTTTTGTAAGGGCAGTTATTCATGTCTGTGTGTCTTTGACTATAAACTCCCTCATTCAGGAATGGACCATATGATTTCCATTTCTTCTGTTTTGAATGGACTTTGAAATCCTTAAATTTTCTGCTGCCTTCTTAGATTAATTTTTTTGTTACTGTCTGTATTTTACTTTGCAAATTTTCCTAGCCTTTCTAATGTCTAGTCAGTGTGAATTGATAATAATTTCCCCTTTTATTTTTTGTATTTGTTAAGCAAAGTTTTTAAAGGTATCTATCTAATGTGTGAGGGATAGGTCAACACTAAGAGTTGTTTATTTCTCCATATAGAAAATACGAGGGAGCTGCTGAGGGAGCTTAGATAAATAGCTTACACTAAAAACCTGACTTTCAGGTGGCTGCTGCTGGGTGAACTTTATTTACCCCAACTACGTAAAATGACACCCAGGATTGTCCACTGTTTGTTCACATAAGGTGTAACTGTGCTGGAACCACTGTTCCCTAGCCAATCAGTGCTGTGGATGGTTCAGATAATTTGGTGAAAAGCAGTATTGTAGTCTATTGGTCTATTCAGAATTTTCTGATTCCCAGTTACCTGTAGTTTTACAAAGTTAAGTGTCCTGAATGTAGATTACTACCATGCCATAACATCATTATATCCTTTAAAAATAACATTCTCATTCAAGTCAGGCTAAATATTTTCATGGGGAATACTGACTGCTGTAAGACTAAGGAAGTGCACTAGGGGCAAGACATTGGTCTATAGCTCACGTTCTTTTCTGAATTATCCTTTAAAGATTGCTGTCAAAGATGGCACTAGAGTCAAGAGGCCTTTGGTGTGGTTTGATACACTCCTACTTTCGTTGTTAGGTAGGTGCCTGTGATGTCTGCTATGTCAAATCTTGAAGAATTTCTATCTGATTTGTCTTCAAATCCTTAAGTTTGGGAAGTAAACTACTGCTCTGTTCCCTTTGACACAATGCAGATCAATTTGTTAGTGACACGGTGAATTTGTGTTTCTGCTGGGTTTCTTTTGACACCTTTTTTTTTTTTTTTTCTTTAAGTAGCTTTCTATCTTCTTGTCTGTTCCAATTAATCCTGTCTGAAGAGACTGACCATGCTGAATGAAGATCTCCATTTAGTGTTGCACAGAGCCAAAGCTATCATTTTTTCCACTGGTTGTGTAGCCCACCATTCATCTCATTTTTTTCATTTCTTCTGTTTGTGGGCCTGAAAAGGCCACCAAAAGAGATCATTCAGAGTTTGCTTCTCTTCAATTCCTCCCAAACCCTTTAAGTCTTCTATAATTGGTTCCAATGTATACCACCTTCATCTGAGAAATGACAGATGACTTACTTCATAGTCTCCATTCAAACTTTCTGTTAGATTTCCTACTTTTGGTCTATGGAGACTTAATTTCATTGTCCTCATTTATTTCCAGCTCTCACTTCCTGATTTCATTAAGACTCTTTAGACTGTACTTTTTGGCAGTCATAGGGCCACTAAAAAGTACTTTACAAAAGGCATTAAAACTTTTGAAACCCTCAAGGCAGATGGGTCTCTCCTGAAACCTTGTGATTTATTCTGCAGAAGAGGCAGAATAAGCAAGCCCCTGGAGTAGAAGCCAGGGTTAGTCACGGTAAGAGAAAACCAAATCCAAACAGTTCTTTTAATGAGCACAGGAGACTTAATGCATGTCTTCATTGTTTGATATAACACACTTTTACTTCTGAGAGGATCACAGCTTTTACTGGCTGTTACTGAGAAGTTGTTCATTTGCTGGACAGTATTTATAAGAAAGGAAGTAATTTTAGATATTACTTTTTATTTATGCATTAGATCTGTGTTCATTTAATTTCAGGTATAGCAACCTGAAGAGAGAAAGCATTCAAATACCTGACAATCTGTTACAGTAATCCCAGTTCATAAACATCCAAAGCAAGAAAGGTCACTTTCAGAGCAACTATATAAACTCATTATAAGCAAATACTTCAGAGATTTTCAACGATAAATATATTGGATAAATAGCCAATGGTAGCATCAGTACCTTTCCAACCTAGTCAGCCTAACAGATTGCATCTTTAAGGCAAACTAGAGTCTATTCTGAAAGTGAAGCTTTTTTTGCCAGAAAGTAGATCTTCAGCTGGCTGGGTGGATTACTTCTATTCTTCCAGCAGGAACTTTCATTGATTTCATAGGTCTCAGAAAGTCTCCCTAAAACAAATCAGAGAATCCTCTCTAAACCAACACCAGCACCAAAGTATCATTTAGAAATAATAGTCTCACAGGCTTAGACTATGTCAAGTTTATTGTCTATAAATAGCTTGGTTTAAGCCAAAAACTCCAGTCAAGTGTAAGCCTGCTGTATTTACTCTATTAGGTGACTAGTGGGTATTAATTTCAACTGTAGCTGAGCTCTGTTGACAGGGGGTTGAATAAGGCTTTGCTATCACAAGGATAAAGTTCTTCTCTTAGATTCACACCATTGAGATAATTATTTTTCATAATGTTTGAGAAATACCATCCAGAAAAAACTGTATGATGCAACAGGGATGCTTTATCTGTTTTTATTATTTGAGCTCTAGAGGACCTCAGATCAATGACATCAGTAGTTGGACTGTGGTGCACATTTTATTAATAATGGTGCTTCAGCTTGGTTGTGAAGAAAGTGATGGCAAAGACACTGCCTGTTCTAGTGCAAAATCTGTTTGCCCTGAAGCCATTCTAATAGTCACTTTGCATCTCACAGGAAAGTGTCTAATAGAAAAGAGGTCACAGTCAGACAAAGAAAGTGAGTCAAGCTGTCTTATATTAGATTTCTGGGTATGCCTCATGGACACAGAGGGGTCAGTGGCTTGTTCATGAAGATTTGGTGACAATTTCAATTGACCTTAACATGTGGATAGTTGCCTTTTATTTGTAAACACAAGGCTGAGGAAAATGATTTTTTAGCAGCTCCTTTGCTACAACTTGACTTTGAAGTATTCTGTAGAACAGTCTTTGAAATTAGTAATATTCAGCATTGCTGTTTTGATCCAGACTTTGTGTGGATATGTGCATGTGTCTGTAATTATGTGTATTACATATGTATGCCTATATAATATTTCCATTAATTATCATTATTTGCTAATGTAATCCTCAAATGCAAGAGCAAAGAATGAGAATGTGACTGCTTCCATAGTGTTTATATTGTATAAAGCCCAAATTCAGCCTTCTGTTACAGTAGAACTACTGTATTAGATGAAACTATCAGTTGTGCTTAGACCCTTTAGGTCTTCTCAACTCTATGATAGTTTTAATCCACTGATCCATGTTTGAATGCAATCTCCCATCATTTTCAACATAATTCTGGCATGATTATCTGGAAGAAGTTTGCAAAAACCTTTCCAGTGGCTCTCAGACAAGACTTGTTTTCATTTACACTTGCATGCCTTGTTAATATCAGATGTTTTTCAAAGATTAAATCACTGTCTGGGTTCCTATGTGTAAGTCCTTCACAAGGAGTGAGCTGGACCTCTGGAATTCAATGAATACTGGACATATAGCATGGCTTTCCTCTTTGATAAAACATATGTTGCAAGCATGCTAGAATCTGAATGAATCAGACTCTGTTACTACCTTGTGTCTCTTGTCTTTCTGTTACGCATAGGAGAAATGGGGGACAAAGGACAGAAAGGCAGCATGGGACGGCATGGAAAAATTGGTCCTATTGGTTCAAAAGGTATGCTTAGCTCTTGTTTGTCTTTCAGATGAAAAATCTGTGATCATTTACATTTGAGAAAAGGCCTTGAAAATTGGTTAACAAGTCTCAAGAGTTTACCATAGTAAGGTGTTTCTTACACTGTGGTCAGCCAGATGGCAGAGATCTCAGCCAGTTACCTTTTGCTCTGACAGCAGTATATTTAGCCTTAAACAGGGTGGGAATCCTGGCTTAAGCCTAAATAAAAAATGTTGTGCACCGTCACACAAGTATGGACAGTTAAGAGAAGGAGGTGGGAGATGCGCTGTATTTTAGCATACTTTACTTAAGTATCTAGATTATGAATCTAGATTTAGGCACCAGTGTATCCTGTCCAGCCCTTTTCCCTCTACAGCATCTGAACTTACCAGTTCTGTGAAGTTCATGAATGTTGAGAAATAGATACTGGTACATATTCTTTACGTTCAAGTTTCATAGCTTTGGCTGGCCTTTGTTGTGGAATGACTAGGACAGAAAAATCTTTATTTTTGCTTGGGCATATTTCCACCTTGCACATCTGAATTACTAGAGGAAAAAACAAACAAGTGCTAAATGAACTGTATAGTAAAGTGCTGCCCTAAATGAATATTCTTTTTTATGTCTTTAGGTGAAAAAGGAGATAATGGTGACATAGGACCACCAGGTCCTAATGGTGACCCAGGTAATCCGTGACACATCTTGTGTATGTGAAGGATTTTACGAAGTGCATGCATCATCACCAAAAATACGTGTCTGTTTACACACTGGGGAAAATAATGAAAGATTAAATATTTGTATGAGCATTGTAATATTTCACTGTAATATTTCTAAATGATTTAAAATTATTGAAGTTGAAGTAGTTGCTGGATTTGTGGTGTAATTGTCAAAACAATGTCTCAGAGTTCTTCAGAGGTGTGATGTCTCCAGAAGACTAGTGGGAACTAAAGTGCAAGGGTCTATATCATGCATCACCAGTGCAAAGAGACACCTCTGCATATCCCACTCTGGCTTTCAGCCAACAGAAAGGAGCAGGGTGCATACTCCTACCCCTCCATAGATTATTGTTAAAGGAGCAGGAGATTACAAGGAATACAGATCTTCCAGAGAAAAAGGTGAAAGCCTGGCATAAAAAGTGTAAGCCTTACAAAAGCGGCAGATGCAGATTTTACCAAATTTGTCCCTTCCAGGCAGGGTGCACTAGAGGTACACCAATTAGTTTTCTCATGAGAACATAATGTGTCACCTAGTCATCAAGAACAGTTTTGCAGTGTAAGTACCTTGTTCTTAAACTGATTTAGACACCTAAGCTGAGTAATTGGGTAGTCAAATGCAGATTTGAATAATTACACGCAGAACTGGAATCTCTAATTGATCCTCATTTTGAGATTTGAGCTCATACATAGGTGTAACAATGATCCTTTTAGTATTCTCATTCAGATTATCTTTGTCAAACCAGTATCAATTTGGGTTAATAGATGGGTTTCTATTGTCTTATTTTATTGGAAGAAGTACTTTCAAAAGTACAGCACTACATTTTGCAGGTAATTATGTGCATTATGTGGTTGGAACGTTAGCCTTTTGGATCTGCTGTGTTATCTTTCTCGTGAGGAACAGGCGAACGATGTGGTGTGCAGAGTTTTGCTATGAAAAAAGTGCTCCTTGGAGAAGACTGAAGGGAAGAATTTTATTCAAAATGGGAAATTTTGACAAATGTATTTAGTTTAAAAAAATGAAAGTCTGTATCTTTTTTTTTTTTTTTGGTGGGGAATATCTCTCTGACACCTGTGAGAACCGTCTGATGGTGCAGGCTAGCAAAGGCTCCAGGCTTCTGTCTGTTTTGTCCAGGGCTGCCAGGCTGGGCCTTATCATAAAATTCTTTAGGCGATGATTGAAATTAGAGAGCTTTCTGATTTTGGTGTATCTTCATCATTTCACAGGCATCCCCTGTGAGTGCAGCCAGCTAAGGAAGGCTATTGGTGAAATGGATATCCAAGTGGCCCAGCTGACAACAGAACTAAAATTCATAAAAAATGGTAGGTTTGACTTTATGTAAGTGCTTTCCTTTCTTGTCGCCTCATTTTACTGGTGTAATCCAACATCTGATTTGTGAAGCCATTTTGGGGTGTACAGTAACTTGGTTTATAGAAATGCGAGTGCTCACTTTTCAGCACTGCCCTCCCCCGCAGCTGTTGCTGGTGTGCGTGAGACAGATAATAAGATCTACCTGCTGGTGAAGGAGGAGAAGCGATACAAGGAAGCCCAGCTCTACTGCCACGGAAGGGGAGGGACGCTGAGCATGCCCAAGGACGAGACTGCCAACAACCTGATCGCCTCGTACATCAACCAAGCCGGGCTCACCAGAGTGTTCATTGGGATTAATGACCTAGAGAAAGAGGGAAATTTTGTCTATTCTGACCGATCGCCCATGCAGACCTTCAACAAGTGGCGCAGTGGAGAGCCCAACAACGCTTATGACGAGGAGGACTGTGTGGAGATGGTGGCATCGGGAGGGTGGAATGATGTCGCATGTCACATTACCATGTATTTCGTGTGTGAGTTTGACAAAGAAAATGTGTAAGCTTGTCTGCTCTTTCTTTATCTTAAGGAAAGTTTTTAAGCTGATTGTACGTTGCCCCGTGTTCATGGAGTACAAGTGATATTTTGCAAGTGTGTGGCATCAGTGTTGTACAGCTGTAAATACAATTTAGGTATTTCAAATATCAGTATTTACCCTTCAGAAGGGAAGAGCAGTGATAAGACATAACTTGGTTTTTCTGTAGGAAAATGATATATATTTAGATAAAAATGTGGTTTGGGGCTAAATTCTGCCCTCACAACAGTTAACAAATGTGACTGCATGACTATAAGGGAAGGCAGAGTTTGACCTCTAGTTGTTAGAGTGATTATTTCTGAAGAAGTAGTAGCTTCCTGATATGCTTTTATCTTAGCAAAATTTGTAGTTATAAATGTTAATTGCTTGTAGTGCTACAGGGATATTTCAGCAACAAGGCAAATATTATTTATGCTCCAGTTAGTAAGCGCAAATATCACTCTGAGTTTTTTGGATGTGAAGGTGTAACAGCCTTTTTTGGAAAAACAGCCAAAGCAAACCAACAAATCAGGAGTCCTACCGATTTCGTAATGTTTCTTTCTTAAACTGTTCACAGGTGTATGGCAGGAAGGTACTTAAGTAAACTGAGTTTTAGTGCTGAGGAAGGAGGACAAAGTTCTTACAATTTAGTACTGAAAGAGGGATCCGAGCTAGCTGGGTGTTTTGGGATTAAAATGTAAAAGTAAGATTTTGGTTTTCTGCATTCTTTAACTGAGAAGGATTTGGTGCATGAACTCTTTCAGGCCTCAAATAATTCCTTAAAGCAAGTGTGTTCCACATTTGTATAGGATAGTCTTCTTACTACAAAAGAAACAAAATACCAGCCCTCAGACAGACTTCATAAATGGACAAATCTCATAAAAATGGTGTAGCTAGTAATTCCTTCTGGTGGAAAAACAGCTTAGACATTTGCTCGGGTTGTAAGGATCCCCCCCTGAAAAGCAGCAAAAATTTCCAAAATTTCCCTGATCGTGTATGTAGCAGTAATAAGTAATTTTGCACAAATAATTTATGAACTCAATCTATAACTGCATGTCATAGAAAACGTGATGTATATTTATAAAAGCAACATAATTCCACAAAGGAAATTACTTTGGATCTTCCTAGGAGCCAGTTGCATGGTATCTTATCTTGCTGTTAGGCATAGAAGAATGACTGCCAAATCTCTGATTGTTTTCTTATTAATATCTTGCACAGTGTTTGAAGATAATTTTTAAGGAGATATAATCTTTTGTATAACATAGCAAGCTAAATACATATCTGATGATCTTGGGAGATTGGTCTACAGGATATCCAGTGTGGATGTGGCATGTGATCCCCCAGAGATTTCCCTATCCCAGAGGTTTCCCTGCAGCAAGGCAAGCTACAGTGCTGTGGTATATGAACAATCAGTGACCATATAATTCTGTTCACATCCACAGTCTGACAATATTTGATGCAATGCTGTTATTATGTACGTAAGAAAACAAACCATCTTGCTTGCTATATTTACTTCGTGAATTTGAATCCATTACATATATAAGTTTGCTATTAATTTTGAAGATCAGTAGCAAATTCCTCTAGTGAATATATATCAGTGAATACATACATAGTGAATGTCAGCCCAGCTCTAGGGAAGTCACTCTAAGAAATGTCTGTCCTTTGGCTGCCTTACTTTCTAACAAAGGCAGGTGTGATTCTTATATGTTAGGTGTTCTTCCAAATGTCTATTGAAATCTATTCAATAACACAAATATGATTCTACACTAATATTCAGAGACTCCTTAAAGAATTTGCAGGGAGCTAATGATTTCCATGTAACAATTTTTTAGTTTAGAACAGCAACTGTTGAGTATCCTGATTGTTTCCTGCCTGCTGTAGAAATCCTCAAAACCCACTTAAATCTCCAAGATACTTTAGTCAAATCATTGTAGCTGTATTAAACCAGTCCAAACCTGAATTGCAGATATTTGGAGCTCCCTCATTATGTATGTGCTGAAGTTGCTAACTGTTTATTTTTCACCAGGTTTTGAAAATCTCTGTTATGTCCTGTGTCCTAAGAAAACTGAAAAGAGGCCTTTTGAGGAGGTGGGAAGCTTTTTCAGATGCCAAATGTTTCTGTTTTAGCTGGACATCGCACGTTTATAAAGATTGCATTGATGTGTAAAGCATTTAAGCAGTCTCAATTTGTATTAAAATTTAAGAAGAAAAATAAAGGCAATGGAAAAACCATTTACTTCCACCAGTTTTCTGGTTCTTCAGGATATATTTTTGCAGCTCTTGTTATGTGATATAGAAAGGAAATTATCTGTACTTGTCAGGACCAAGGACTGCACATCTGATATTTACGCCTATGAGGAATTGGGCAAGAAGTGGTGGAGGGACTGGAAATGAATGAGCCCTTCATCATTTCTTTCACCCTCAAGTTGCTAACCATGATAGGTGGACCCTTGCTGGAGGCAGAAATCAATGTTGCAGGTAGTGCTCAGCCTGCATGATGCCTGCAGATGTGCATGGCAAGGTTTCCATTATTCTCAGTGGAATTTGGAGCTATTGTTTTGAGAAAAAATTGAATTATAACTTAGTTTTATTTGGGGTATTTTCCATGTGTACTAAAACCTGCACTGTGTTATCATTACTCTTTGTGTGGCTCTGTGGAAGCCTTTGAAACATGTTTGGTTGGCAAGCATGAAGTGAGGTTTCCAAAACTAGTCTTATATACTTTTGCTGGATGATTTTTCATCATAAAATGTTTCCCCACAACCCTTTACTTAGGTTATTCTTAATTAAGGGGCATGTTGGTGCATTTCAAAAAGGCAGAAATAACACTTGGCTTTGTTTTTTTTTTACCATAGTCACTTGTTCATGCTCTTGGATGACTTCTTCACATAAAATGTGTCTTTCATTCAACTATTTTCCACACCTTTAGCTGCTAAGGCTGTGTTGTTTTACTACTGATGTCAGGCCCAGACGTGCATCCCCCTTCCAGGAGATGACTGGACAGAGGTAAAGCGTTTAGCTGGCTGAGGCCAAGGGGAGATCCATTGCCGGTGAGACCCCTGCTGTGGACATCCTGGGAGTGCACTGGATGATGTCTGACCTTGATCTCCACCCAGATTGGTCACTCTGCCTCCTGACTCCTTAGTGTAATGTGCTGCTTTCACCTGCCTTTTAATCCTGCTCAGATCCTGGTTTGCCATCCCTCATGGGCCAGCTGTTTTACACCATGTCAGTAACAATGTTCAGTATAATGCCTGAAATATTTTACTTTATTCTTTAAGTCTTAATTTCCAATGGGAACAGGTTATCTTTCTGGGAGTTCTGTTATTTACCATACTGAAAGAATTTGACACTTGAATTGGTTTCTCCTTCTGGTACTGCTATGACTCTGTGAACACTGAATAAAAAACAACAGAGAGTTCAACCAACATTAAGTAGAAGATATTCTTGCTGATTATGAAAATGGTTGATTTAAGAATTATGCCATATAACTAGCAGCTTATGTGTTATTACAAGTGTCCAACCATTAAATAAGATAAAGCAAATACAAGCATTTTAAGTATGAAAATCTTACAAATATACTTTCATCCTGAATTAAAACAAAACGATGTCAAAGTAACCAAATTTCCAGTAAACCAGAAATTCAAGACTTCCCTAGGTCTACATCTGGATCTAGTTTTTATGGGAAACTCAGTGACTGATGTGCTGGGGTTTAAAACCCCAGTCCAGAAGGGGGTTGGCATATGGATGATGTCTACAACTAGTCAAGAAAGACCCTCCTGATGGGTTTTCATGTAGGGTCTGGCCAGACTTCAGTGGGAACTGATTAGGAGATCACCACCAGGTGCCCCCACCTTCGAGGTGGGGCAAGAAGCCACCTCTGTACAGAACTAACTCTTCTTACAGTGCGGTTGTGTGACCTACCCATGCAGTGCATGTGCTGTGTGGGGATTCTGGCTGTTGGAAGGGCTCCCTGGCTCTTCACAGCAAGTGGATTTCCCAGGATGGCGGGGCCAGAACATGAAGCTGTCTCTGAGTCCCTGCTATATAACTGGGGCCATAGCCTGGCTGCTCCCATTGCCCATGGCTAGGCTTCTCACCTGGCTTGCTCCCTTCTTCACACCCACTGTGGTGGGTGAGTGCATCGACTTGTTCCTCCCTCTGGTTGTCTGGCACTTTGGGTCTCTGGTGTGTGATGTGGCAGCAGAGGAAGTTGGTTGGTTGCTGTTCTGCCTGTTAATGATAATATCAGTCTGTATTGGGTAAGTGGTCAGCAGAAGAGTGACCTGTGGTGCTGATGGCTGAATAAAATCCTGAGTAGAAAATAAGCCTACAATACAAACGTTGATTTTATACAACTCTACCCCTTGCAATTTCTGGACAGCTTCCCCTTAGCTTTTACTTTCAAGCATTATGCTTACTTAGCTCTGTATATAAATATGTGCATGTATTTGTTCCAAGGGTTGATCTCTTTTCACTGGACATTCTGGTTTTCAATTTTTGGCTTGCCCTGTGGTGCCAAGAGGTCAACCTCTCTGTCACAGATTACAAAGGAAGAGATGGCAGTTTGTCCACCAAGGAGTGCTGGAAATGCTCTGTGAAATGCAAGTGTACCTGTGAAACTGTGATGAGAGAGGTCTTGTGCAGGACTGGAGCCAGCCAGTCCCATCCCCTGGGATGCATAGTTCTGGTTGGGAAGAGGCGGACCGGCAGACTGAGAGGAGAACTGACCTTGCTATTGTCTGTAAAAAGAAGCTGGAGTCGTAAGATTTACTTGGGTAAAAAAAAAAAACATGCAGTGGAGGGTTTTGACTATTTACTTTACAGCGTAGCTGAGAGAAAGAACAGTTTGTTTTTAATTTGGCTGTGTAAGGAGAGTACAAACTATGTGAACTGGGAGAAAAGGGGTTTGTGGAGAGGATGACAGCTGTGTGCTCAAGGTGTTTTTCTGGATGTGTGTCTCCTAGCCAGGAGCTTTCCAATTGGATGAGGAGGGGAGCCCTCTCAGGAGGGAGAACGTGGAATG